TCCCGCGGCCCTGCGCCGGGCACCGCGTCCTCCCCGGGAGACGAGGAACCACCGACGCGCGACACGCCAGCCACGCCACGGAGCAGGTGATGGAGAAGCTCCCTCCGGCCAGCGATCACCAGCGCACAGGAGCCCAGACAAACAGCATCCAGGGTCACCAACAGCTTCCCACAGACCGATGACCTCTCCTGGCTTCCCAGGTGTGGAACTTCACGGGTCTTCTTGAGTCTCCGTGTTCTTCTCCGTGGTAGGTCGCTGCTCTTGAACACAACAGACGCAGCGAGAGACCTCACTGCAGATCCAGAGCCAGACCCACACCGAAGGCCACATGCACCTCATCAGCACGGACAGCTGACGAGGAGACGCGCGTGCCCTCCGAGCGCTGTCAGCCAGAAGCATCCACACGCACCCAAGGTCGCACTCACAGGGGTCTGACTGACATCTGTGATGTTTCAGACATTGCTTTTGAACACACATAATTCAAAAGATGCCATTAATAAACACACAGCAGGCTGAGCCGTTGGCGCAAGTCTTCCCTCCCTCAACGATGAGTTCTTGGAAGAGTTTACAAGAGGTTTACACCGCTGTTGCTACAGCGAACACTTTAATAAGAGAGAGTCATTTGGCCCTCTGCATTCCAAAATTCTGCATCCATTCTCGCAGGAGCTGTAGGAGGATGATCTGCGACTCAGGTTTCCCCCTCGCAGCCTCCAGCAACCAGAAAACCTCCCGTTCCTGTTGGAAGGAGGTGACAACTCGACTTTATGAGGCCACTTTCACATATCCTAACAGCCCAAACCACAAAGCTACACAGGAAGCCGGCACCCTAAACTGTGTGATACTGCAAGGTGAGACAGAGGATTTCATTCCCGCCCGGTGCTACAGACAGCGCAGAGGTTGTACCTCTCCAGCCCTTGCGGAAGCTGTGCATAGCTTTTGAGCCAGGTCATACCCTGTGCTCCTCACAGGCTGGGCGCGACCCATGACACAGGAGGCTTCCCATGGGTTGTGGTAATACCACGGATCAAACACGGATACCACTGCGCACTGTACGAATAACACACAAACATGAATCATCCCCTGGTTCCTGCCTGAGGGGCACGAGATTCCCAGGTCCGTATTTAGCAAGAGCAATATCCACCTCCCGTGACTCCTCTCTGTCACTCACCACCACTGCTGCAGCCTTGCGAGGCGAGGAATTGAAGACAGCACACCCTGAAGCTCCAGAAACGTGTAGGAAAGCTAGGACAGCTCCTGAACACAGGCTCTGGGTCAAACACAGCCCTGCCAACTTCACAAACAAAAAACCTGCTGAACTGCTGAACTGCTCACCTTATCAGCCAGCTGAAACACCCAAAACGCCCACATCAGCAGAACTATCGCTCAGACACGGTGGAAGATGCTTTTGGAGAAGAACCAGGTGAAACGAACCAATAAGTCCTGGAGCTCTGCAACGTCCGAAGTCACAAATGAAACCTCAAAGGCAAGCACTGGGATTCAGGCTGTTGCTTGTCTTCAGCATGGACTTTATGATTAGAATAAGGCAAAACGAGAAAACCCATTGCAGACAAGAGTCTTAGAGATTACTTCACATTAAAATTAGGATATTTCCATTCTTTCAAAGGCTTTTAAATAGGAGTGATACTCTTTTAAATAGGCATAAAAGGCAGCAACAGGAAATACCTCAAAGAAGTGAACTTACTAAGAAAAAACGTACACAAATGGAAACCAAGTACGTGTGCTGGACATCTCATTTCCCCAGGAGCAAGCCATGCAGTACAGCAGGCAGTCCAGCTGAAATCACTCGCTGATGCGGCTGCTGAGCCAAAAAGATGCAAACCCAACTATTTACACCAAAGGCAAAGCAGTATCCAGTCTGATAACAAAGCTTATGTGGTAGATGCCGAAAAGGACGTCATTCGATGTCTGAGGAAGGGAGGGGAATTTGGCATTTTTCAAGGAAAAGCATTCCATCATCTTTTGGCAGTGCAGGGACACAGTCCTCCTGCCGCCGGTTGATGGTGGGACCACATGAGAGCAGCCCCATCCCTAAGGAACGCAGCGAAGGCGACGGTGCAGGGTCTGAGATGTAACGACCAGCAAGTAACTGGGAGCTCTGCATCTCCTCTGCAGTGGTAAGGAAAGCCCACGGAAAGAGGCATTTCCTCCTGTCTGTTTGGTCACTGCCAATCCGCTCTGGAGGCTTTACAGGGTTTTGAGAGTGGTTTCCAAAGGAAGCAAGGCTGCTGCACAGCATGAGCGGCAGTACGGTCCGCTGTATCAGGGCGTAAGTCTCGTACACGTGGGACCCAGCGGAGTTCACTGCCCCTTTGTGAGCTGGTGACAGACATTGCCGGGCTGTGGTGCAGCGAGCCAGACCGCGCTCGGGCAGACAGCGAGGCCAGGGGAGAGGATACAGAATGAATTCCCCAAACGACATCTGCTGTTTGTCAGTTATTTTCACAATTCTTTGTAACAAAGCTGTAGAACCAGCAAGAAAAGAAGTTTCTCAGGAATCCTCACGCTGGCGCTGGCCATGACACTCCCTCTCCCAGTGAATGCCAAGCGGGTACCTTTGCCAGGCTGCAGGGTATCAGGACTCCAGCTAAACTGGCTGAACATCTAATGGTGGTTTTAAATAGCAAAGTCAGACGTGTCTTGTTCTCCCTCCAACCTTAGTCCTGCTGGCTCCCACATCCTCTCCGCATACCATGTGCGTGTGTTTGCTCATAAGCACTGTAAATAAAACAGACTAAGGATTTTGGATGCAGCCAGGACTTCACTGACATCACCAGCAACAGCCCAGCTGGCTTAGGAAGCACACTCGTTAACACCACACCAGTGACTGCTGGCTGACAGGCACCTACCAGTCCTGGTAATGGCTCCTTCCCAAACACATTCTTATCAAATTACATGTTTTGCCTGGCTTCCAGCTGGAGTTAATGAATGCCACGTACCTGCCTCAAACCACGCTTGGCACTTCCAATCTAATGGCCTCAAGACGCTGTGGAGGGGATGAAATGAGGTAGCAAAAAACGAGGCAGAAGAAAGCTGATGGAAACAGGCAGCAGCTTGTTCAGGTTTAGAGGGTCAGCAGCAGGATCCCGGTCTCCAACCCTCCACCTCTATCTAGCCGAGTGTGCCGTTCTCTTCAATTCATCACCAAGCCTCATCCAGAAAGCACTCAGTTCTACCGGATCTCAGAGCAAACAGAGCCGGGCCAAGGCTGGGCAAGGGGGCTCCCAATTTGTACAAGGGATAGGGCAGTTCTGCTAGTTGACTGAGCAGGACTAGTTCCTCCCCTGGGCAGGGAGATGGTCTAGACAACCTTCAAGATCCCTTCCCTGTTTTCCCATTAACAAGGAGTTTGCTCAAGGGGTTGAGCCCCATTTATTTTCAGCAGACGTCCAGAGTCACGCTTCGGGGAGCTCAAGGCACCGGAGGCGGATTCACCCCTCCTGGCTCCAGGCCTCCTCCAGCAGCCCGCGGCCGTGCAGCTCCCTTGGGAGCGCGACCCGCTGCCGCCCAGGCCGGCATTCCCTTCCTGCC